AGTCTAAAGAGGTTGGTAATTGCCTCTCACTGAGGATTTATGTGTGGCAGGCAATGTGTTAACTACTTTTCATGCATAAAACCTCACAGCACCACCATAAAATTAGTATTTACTCCATTTTATAGATGAGCAAAGAAAGGAGGGAACAGGCCCCCAGCCTGCTGGGACAACTTGTTCTTAACTACTTATCTGCTGAATCACAAATAGAACTGGGAGTGACCCAGCCTAAGAGCAAACGAGACGGATGGAGCTGGAATTACTTAGGTCAAGAAAGCATGGTCTCGCTCCTCCAGTCCCTCCCGACTCACTGACTTCTCCCAGCTCAATAAGAGACAGTCAAATCTAACTTTAAATTCAGGGTATTATACTGTGCAGCAGGGAGGGGGGAAAGTCCTTTCACCTGGCAGTGTTTTTATTTCCTGCTTTAGTGCTCTACCCCCTCCCTCCCATCAGGTTTGGAGTGTGCTGGAGGGGAGGGGAGGGAGGTGACAGAGCTGGGGATCATCCCGTCCCTGAATGTTCTTGTGGACATAAAAACAAGTAAAAGTATCCCATACCTTTGGAATATTTCCATGATTGGACAGCTACAAATAAGAATACAGGAAGTATTTACTGAACACTTGATCTTTCCGTGCCTGTGTAATCTTCATTAGAGTCTATTAGCTTGATAAGTACTGTTTTCCCATTCTCTGAAGGATCTGAAGCCCAGCGGTGACTGGCTGACAAGGTCACGCAGCCAGTAATTGGCAAAACCAGCATTTCATGAACCAGGATGTCTGGTTCCTGGGCCTGAAGTTTTGTCTTTTGCAATACCATCTAAATTAAAACAAACGTTTAAGTGATTGAGGAATTTGTGGATCCCATCTGGCTAAAGAATATATATGTTTCACTTAAGTCCCAGTTTGAAATGTTTCCTCCCCGCTGCCAGCATAAAATACTAATGTTACTTATTCATGTTCTCTGGAGCCAGGACTAGGTAGGTTCACAGTGATCCCTTTTGCCTCTCTGAACACTGTTTTCTATGATTACTGCTTCTTGTTGACATATTTGACACACTCTTTGGATGTTTTACTATAATAGATGACGTTGTAATGAAGTTTATTCTGGGTGGGGTATGGGAGATGCTATTACCACCACTAATATGTTGTTGATGCGGTAAGTGGCAGGGTACAATGAGCTGTGGGGCTTTTTTTTTTTTTCCTTTTTGTCTTTTTTACTGACCGGTAACGGGATCGCAACCCTCGGTGTTGCGCCCGCACCGCGCTCAGCCAGTGAGCGGGAACTGGTCTCCACATGGGATCCGAACCCTTGGTGGGAGCGCCGCCGCACTCCCAAGCGGCGCACTCTCCAGTGCGCCACCGGGCCGGCCCGAGCTGTGTGTTTTAATTCAGGCACTCTGGGTTCTTCTGACCCTGGTTTTGCCATGCAACTAGCTGTGTGAATAATTTCCTCCTTTTTTTGAAGGCTGCAAGGCTCTTTGCTAACTGACCGGGGACCGGCAACGGGATCGCAACCCTTGGTGTTGTGCCTGCACCGCGCTCAGCCAGTGAGCGGGAACTGGTCTCCACATGGGATCCGAACCCTTGGTGGGAGCGCCGCCGCACTCCCAAGCGGCGCACTCTCCAGTGCGCCACCGGGCCGGCCCGAGCTGTGTGTTTTAATTCAGGCACTCTGGGTTCTTCTGACCCTGGTTTTGCCATGCAACTAGCTGTGTGAATAATTTCCTCCTTTTTTTGAAGGCTGCAAGGCTCTTTGCTAACTGCTTTACAAGTGTCATTGTTTATAAATCTCAGTACAAACTGGCAGTGTTTTAATGGGATTATTTCATACATATTGAAATGTGCTAGGCATTATTTTAGGTACCAAAATGTGGCAGTAAACAAAACAGACACTACTTTCTTCTTTAATGGCTGCATGGTATTCATTATTACGGATATTTCACTCAATCATTCCCCTCCTAATAAACTGCTAAGTTATGTCTGTTTTGTTTTTACCAACAATGACATCGAAGATATGTGTCAGGTTAAGACTTCCTGCAAATTAAGTACCTATATTCTGTTGTATAATTCTTTATTCTTACCTTTTTGTTTTTAAGATGACTGGTATAGGGATCTTAACCCTTGACTTGGGGTTCTCAGCACCACACTCTCCCAAGTGAGCCACGGGCCGGTAAAGTGTAGGAATCTGGCTTCACTTCCAAATAGATAATTAAGTTTTCCATGTATTCTTGGATTTCTCAGTGACTTTCCATTTTAATCCCCTTATCTATTTGCTTGGGTTACACCATCTTTACCCTTCAACTTTCAGTAATATTATTTTGATATAATTTCAAAATTAGAAAAAGATGGCAAGAGGGCCGGCCCGGTGGCGCACTGCTACAGTGCGCCGCTTGGGAAGCGTGGTGGCGCTCCCGCCGAGGGTTCGGATCCCATATACAGACT